ATAGTGCCTACACCAAAAAATGAAGTGCCTACATAAAAAAATCAGAAAGAACACAAATAAATGACTTAACATTGCAACTCAAGACACTGAAAAGGCAAAAACAAATGAAACCCAAACCCTGCAGACAAGAAGAAATAACAAAAATCAGAGCAGAATTTAATGAAATAGAAACAAAGAGAACAATACAAAGAATCAACAAATCCAAAAGCTGGTTCTTTGAGAAGATAATCAAGATTGATAGACTGCTAGCCCAGTTAACCAAAAGAAAGAAAGAGTACCTCATAATCAACAAAATCAGATGAAAGGGGAAATATCAGAACAGACACCAAAAAATCCAGAACATTATAAGGGAATAATTTAAATACCTATATGCTACTGAATTTGAAAAACTAAAAGGAATGGACAGGTACCTAAAAGCACAGGAACCACCAAACCAAGAAGAAATCAACAGCTTAAACAGACCCATAACACATAAGGAAATTGTAACAATAACACAAAACCTCCTGACTAAAAAAAAAGCACAGGACCACATAGATTTACAGCAGAATTCTACCAGACAGTTAAAGAGGATCTACATCCAATACTACTTAATTTATTCAAAAAGAAATGGAGGAAAAACGTCCAAATTCCTTCTATGAAGCCAACATCACTCTAATACCAAAACCACACCAAAGATACAACCAAAGATACAACCAAAAAAGAAAACTATAGACCTTAATGAACATAGATGCAAAAATTCTCAACAAAATACTTGTAAACCACATACAGACGCACATCAAAAAGATCATCCACCATGATCAAGTTGGCTTTATTACAGAGATGCAGGGATGGTTCAATATATGTAAGTCAATAAACATCATAAATCATATAAATGGGCTCAAAGACAAGAACCATCCTACCAATGACCATCCTACCAAAAGACAGTTATAGATTCAATGCAATGCCAGTCAAAATCCCCATGACATTCTTCACAGAATTGCAGAAAACAATCCTAAGATTCATATGGAAGCACAAAAGACCTCGTATAGCCAAAAAAAAAAAAAAAAAAAAAAAAAAAAACCCTCAGCACTAAGAACAATGCTGGGGAGATTACTATAACAGGTTTTAAACTGTATTACTCAGCTATAGTCATAAAAACAACATGGTACTGGCACAAAAATAGACCACAGATCAATGGAACAAAATTAAAGACTCAAATATTTTCAGCCACCTGATATTGACATAGGGGCCAAGAACATTCACTGGAGGAAAGACAGCATGTTCAGCAAATGGTGCAGGCAAAACTGGATCACCACCTATAAAAGAATGAAACTAAACCCCTATCTTTCAAATCTTGTACAAAAGTCAACTCCAAATTGATCAAAGACCTCAACATGAAGCCTGAAACTCTGAAACTGTTAGAAGAATACATTAAGAATAATCTACAAGATATAGGTGTAGGAAAGGATTTTCTAAACTGGACATTAACTGCCCAGGAAACAAGGTCAAGAATCAACAAATGGGACATCATTAAACTAAAAAGCAACCAAGGAAGTGAAGAGAAAACTCACAGAATGGGAGAAAATTTTGACCAGTGACACATCTAACAGATGTTTAATATCCAGAATGTATAACGAACTCAAATAACAAAGAATCACGAAAGGAAGTAACCCAATTAAAAGATGGGCTAAGGAACTAACAGAGTTCTCAAAAGAAGAAATACAGGTGTCTAAGAAGCATCTTAAAAGGTGTCTAATATCATTAGTAATTAGGGAAATGCCAATTAAAACCACTTTAAAATTTCATCTGACCCCAGCCAGACTGGCTAAGATCAAGAGAGCAAATGATACCAAATGTTGGAGAGGATGTGGGGAAAGGGGAATGCTCATCCACTGCTGGTGGGACTGCAAACTTGTTCAACCCCTATGGAAAGCAGTGTGGAGAACTCTTAAAAAAATACAAATGAACCTACCATTTGACCCAGTTATACCACTCCTTGGCATATACCCAAAGAACTCATCCTATTGCAGAGACACTTGTACATCTATGTTTGCTGCTGCTCTTTTCACAATAGCTAAGAGATGGAAGCAGCCTAAGTGTCCCTCAACTGACGAGTGGATAATGAAAATGTGCCTCATTTATATATTGGAGTTTTACCCAGCAGTAAAGAAAGATGAAATCATGAAATTTGCAGGTAAATGGATGGAACTAGAAACTGTTATACTAAGTGAAGTAACACAGAATCAAAAAAAAAAAAGTATGTTCTCCCTCATACATGGATCCTAGCACCAAATCCTTATAAGTGAGTGGAACCAGGATAATGAAAAGGAACCAGGGAGATAAAGGAAAAGAAAGACTTTGAAAGAGGAGAACAGTAGGAAATGGGTGTTAATAAAGGAGATATGGATAAAAATGTGGTTATTTTAAGGGGATGGGAGATGTAAGCTTATATAAGGCAACTAAGGGATAAAGAGAAAGAAGGAGCTCAAGAGAGGTAGGACCATAGGAGAAGGGTATTATTAATGGAGAAATGGGTAAAACAGAGGTACCTTAAATGGGAAAACCATGTGGAAGGGTTAGACAATGCAAGAGATAAATAATGCCTAGCTAGTTTTAAAAAACCAGAGGGAACAATATTAGTCAAACAACCTACTGACAAATTATACATACAACTAGCTCAAGGAATATAATACATGTCTAAGCCAGGTTTATCTGAGATCGTTTGGTCTATGCCCAAGCTTTATCTACATAGCACATGGTAATTACAAGTACCAGCCTGGTGGAACTAACCTTCTTGGATGTTTAACAACCATACTCTGAGGCCTATACTAATTTGGTCAGAGGGAAGGATAGTTTTTGTTCCTTGCCCTTCTAGGTCAACTAAGATCCAGGGGACTATGAGCATCTCTCAAAATGTCCTGTGGTGCATCACCTGTCCTCTTGATCAAGGAGGCCATGGAGACCCCACCAAATGGACTTGAACCAGTGTCCAGTCTACAAAGAGGAGGGTCAACACAGAGAAATGATTTCCTCCTTGCTTCCAAGTGAAGCCAGCCACGGTTGAGCAGGACCTTTGACTTTTCTTCACATAGATGGAACTAGTAAAAGAAAGGAACCAGGGGCTCCTCCCAAGCCCATGTGCCCCTGAGGAACAGATCCTTAAAAGACCTTAAGAATAAAAATAAATTGGTTTATCTGGGCCAACCTTATGGTTTTAAACACCCAAAAAGAAAGTATAACGAAAGACTAAAGGGATCAATATGAGTCTTTAAGAGTCCATGTGTATAGCTAAAAGCTATGCAAAAGAAACAATGCCAGACAGGAGATACCTTCCTTTGAGTTGTTGGCCAGGGAAGCCAAAGAGACTCCCAGACAGCAACCCAGCATAGAACTGGGAAAATGAACAGCAGACCCCAATCTTATCTAAAGGAATACTGGCCACTTATTGCTGCTAGATGAGGAAGAGCTGATCTTCATAAAACAAGGAAGTCTAGCTAGACTGACTAGATTCAGTGGATGGACAAGCACTGGAGAACAGCTAGGGGCACTTACAACACAGTGGACATTAACAGGGATGAAAGAGTATATGGGCTACTGTGGGGGGAATGACTATGGGAGGGTGCCATTTGGGATGTGGGTATATAGATGAACAAGATTGTTTGGGATGGTCTGTATGAAATACACACAAAATAATCAACAAATAATAAAATGAATTATAAAAAAAATTCTTGTTCTCCAAGCATATTTATTTAGCTACTTCTAACTAATTCTGCCTCCCCTACCAGTGAAAGGATTTCTCTAAATCATCATGGTTAAATAGTAATGTGCTCAGTGTGTTAATGGGATATATATCTGTGTATACATATATGTGTATAATGCATAAATGATTCATTTAATAATACTAATATAGAACTTCTAGTATTAATAATTCAACTACTTATTTCCAATTCACTACATTGTCCCCTTTTTTCCTCATTCTCACTATCTCTGAAAATGTGAGCTCCTTTATAAAAAAAAAAGGGGGGGGCTCCTATGGTATTTATTTTTTATTTTTTAATTAGCGTACAAAGTGTTAGATAATAGATATCTGTTTTTTTTTCTCTTACTTTAGATTTAGGTGTTAAATATGACATTTTCAAACAAAATATGGTTTAATGAATTCTCCTCCTCCTCGTCGTCCTCAGCCTCCTGCTTCCCATGGTCACCCTGTAACAGTCTCTTTTCCTCTTTCATGCCCCAGGGGTCTTTATGTCAACCCCCCAGTCACTCTTTTTTTTAACCTCTTGATCTCTTTTAGTTTTTTAAGCTTTGTCCAAATTTACTCCCATTTTTTATATGTGTGTTTTGTTTTAAAATTTAATTTTGACTTTTGACTTTGAAGGAGAGTCCCATTCTTAAAGCAATTTTTAATTAAAATATGTAAATCTACTCTCATTCTTATGGTCAGAATGCCATTCCTTAACAGCCTTGTTTATAATTGTTAAAACTCAGAATGCTTTGAAATAGACTAAATGTTTTAATTATTAATTGTATCTTATTAGTAATGTGCTTTTAAAAAATCTAAAATGTATGTAGTTGAAGGTAAAAACAAAGCAGGTATAACAAATTCAAAGGAAAAAAGCTGTAGAAATAAGTCAGAAAGAGCTAGAAGTCCCAGAATATTCAATTATTTTGTTATTTCTTTTTAGTTATCTTGGTTTTTGTTTTGTTCATAAGTAGTAAGTTTTCTTTACAAAGTTTTAGCTAAGCAGCATATTTCTGAGACAAACATGATGAAAAATAGTTAATATAAATAACTAAAAATGTGTGATACATTCCTACACAAGATTTTCAGTGAAAACGCTCTTATCCCACCCCATTTATTTTTGCAAGCTTGAGATTAAACTATTATCTACAACCTATTATGAATATATTTCCTCCATAAAAATCTTTCATCTTAGCACATTCTTTAAATTGTAAATTCAGTAAAATAGGATGGACATAAGTCAAAAGCTCACTTGCACATCTGTTCATGTCTGGGGCTCGATGTCCATAGTACCCTGATGGGCAGGAGTGCAGACACTCTCCATACTGGCGCATCCCTTCTCTTCGAAGGAAGAAAAACAACTTCTGTTGACATCTGCTGCACCCGTTGTCCTTTGAGCAAGACAGACAACCCTTGCAAATGGGATTTGACACATAACTAGCTGTAATAGAAAAACAAAAATTATGGTTAGACTTTTGGTCTATATACCTTGGCACACAGAAGTCTTGCTTTACTCAAACAGAAATAAACAAAATATCCTCTCCTCTGCAGAACAAAGCACTTAAGTTATGAGTGTGGGAAAAGTAAAAATATTTTCCATCAAAATAAAGTCAAGGAACTCTAATTCTTCCTACCTCATTCCCTTGCTCCTTTGTACACACACACACACACACACACACACACACACACACACACACACACGGGGAGGGGGGAGTAGATTCCCTTAAAAAAATAAACTGCATATTGGAAAAAAAAACACAATAGTGCTCAATGTAAAATACATGTGTGATCACAACAAATGAAAGATATGTTCATACGGGTATAAAAATGTAGGTTTAAAAAATAATTATTGGGCCAGGTGGCACATGCCTTTAATCCCAGCACTTGGGAGGCAGTGGCAGGCAGATGTTTGTGAGTTTGAGGCCAGCCTGGTCTATATAGCAAGTTCCAGACCAGCTGGGGCTACAGAGACAAGAGTACTGGCTGCTCTTGCAGAAGACCAGGATTTGAATTCCAGCACCCACACGGCAGCTAGCAATCACCTGTACCTCCAGTTCCAGGGGATCTGACACTCTTCTGGCCTCTGTGGGCACTGCATAACACAGGTACACTTACATACATGCAGGTGTAACAGTCATACACATAAAATTAAATTTAAAAAACAAAAATAAAAATTATTTTCAGGGCCTGAAAACAAATATTTAAATTTAGCAATAACACAGAAGACTTGAAGGGAAGCTAAAATGAAACCATTAAAGTTTCTGCATCCAGTGAGGCACACCAATAAATTAAATTTTAACTAAGACACACTTGCTATAATTTTAAAGAGCTGACCCAAACAGCATAGACCATACCAACTGCTAAACCAGTGATAGCTACAAACAGATGAAATTGAATGTATAAAATACTAGGAGGAAGAAACAGTCCAAATGTCTATGACAATGGACAGTTGTGGAACACTCACACTATGAATTTAACTCAGCAATAAAAATGTGAAAAAGATTTGTGAGGGAGAAGAGGGTTTGACAGTGGTAGGAAAGGGATAGAGCAGGTGAAGGAGAAAGCAAGCAGAATGCACTGTATACATGCATGAAACTGTCAAAGAATGCATTTAGTAAATAGCCAGAAAGGTGTATCTCCTCCCACATACCCAACTGGCTGCAAGTCTCTATAATAACAGGTTGGCTTTTAGTTCACAGTGATCCACCTGCCTCTGCCCCCACATCCCATTTTCTTATTTGCAGAATGATTCTACTCAAGGATTAAGGAGGCAATAAAAATGGGATGTTCGAATAGTGCCTAAAATTGATATGTCCTTATAAACTTTACTACACCTAGTAGACAAATAGTAATTTAAAAGGGAAAATACAAAATAATTTCTCTACATGCGGTACAAAATATAGAAACTATACAATCTAGAATCCTACTGAAGTGCATAAAATATAAAATCTTCATATAGCTTTTTAGTTTTGAGTCCATCAAAAAAGTTCACAAATGTTAGCAGGGCATGGTGGTGCACAACTTTAATCCCAACACTCAGGAAGCAGAGGCAGGCAGATCTCTGTGAGGCTGAAGCCAGCCTGGTCTATGTAGAGCATTCCAGGCCATTTGAGGCTACAGGGAGACACTGTCTCAAACAAAACAAAAACAGTTCAAAAAATGTTAAAAGTTGGGGGGGGGGATTAATGAGGTTACATTAATTTGTTTTTATTGGATTAACCCAATAACAAAGCAAAGAAGGGATAGAAAATATAAAATATCTCTACAGGACAGTGCGTGTCAAGCAGGCAGAGAGGTCACTGAGCATCCTCACCATGGCGGGAAGCTGGAGAGGGAGCCGGTACTTGGTTTGGCTTTTGCAGAAGAAAGAACTTAGCCTATATGTACTGCTTTATCTACTGGAAGAATGACAGATGATAAAGCTGTGCTTTGAGATGTGTGGTTTGGACAAATTCCAACTTGTTTCACTTTGTATCAGGATGAGATAACTGAATGGGAAGCAGAACCATACTATTTGCTTTTACCAAGAGTCAGTTATTTGACATTGGTAACTGACAAAGTGAAAAAGTACTTTCAGAAGGTTATGAGACAAGAAGACAGTGAGATATGGTTTGATTGAAGGCACCCCCCTGAAATGGCATTATCCAATTGGTTTTGTTTAATCTTCTTGCATTGAGTTCAACTCTTCCTTGGAATATCACAGTACATTTTAAGAGTTTTCCAGAAAAGGACCTTCTACACTGTTCACCCAAGGATGCAACTGAAGCTCATTTTATGTCTTGTATGAAAGAAACTGATGCTTTAAAACATAAAAGTCAGGTAATAAATGAAATGCAAAGAAAAGACCACAGCAGCTCTGGATAGGACTGCAAAATGACAGATTTGACCAGTTTGGGGGCATTAATCAGAAACTCATGGAACACCCTCCTGAAGAAAATGGATTTCGTTATATCCCTTTTAGAATATATCAGATGGAGAAATAAAGAACCAAGTGAAGATTCATGGAGTTGAGCCAATGTTGGAAACACCCCCGCAGTGGCTGAGTGAATATCTGAGCTACCTGGATATTTTTCTTCATATTAGTATTGTCCCCCAACCGACAAATTGAAGGACCAACTCCTAGCTAGGATGGAATCACCCTGAGGCAAGATTTACCAGAGCTTGCCACCCTTGCTTCAGTCAGGTTTGGTGGAGGCAACCTGAGCAGAAACACTCTGCTGCTGTAAGCCCAGCAGGAGGGGATTCCCTGAGATGAGCCTGTCAGGCAGGTCTTACCCTGCACTCCCGCTGCTTTCCTACACTGCCCTCATCACAGAAGACTCAGAAGAACCACTGCAAGCCTGTCTTCCCGTGAAATATAATGAAGCTGAGACCTTTGTTCTAAGAAGAAAATGGAAACATGCCACAGTTTGTATTTCTGATTAACAAATAATTGGGGTATTTTTAAGGTGACGGTGGTTGGACCTTAGTCAAGAGAGCCAAAACGTTGGTAGAATTTAAGAGAATTAGACTTAAAATAGTAAAAGAGAAATTCTATTATCAATAACTTGCAGCAATTTTTTGCAGAAGATCAAATTACAGTAAACCCGTCTTTCCATAATGAAAATTTCCTGTTTACAGTCTATTGGTATGCAAACAGTCTTGTAACTCTGATACTCTAAATATGTTTTGTCATTTAGTAACATAGAATTTTGTCACTTTTCAAGTACTTCCTGAATCCAATACAGCAAATCACTTTAAAAAACTTTTTAATATTTTATTTTTATTTTACGTGTATTTTATGTGTATTGCCTGCATGTATGTGGGTGCACCTGTGTTGTGCAATGCCGCGGGGGTCAGAAGAGGGCTTCAGATGCCCCTGGAACTGGAGTTAAGGATGGTTCATAGCCACCATGTGTGTGTGCTGGGAATCGAACCGGGTCCTCTTCAAGAATAGTCAGTGCTCTTAACCACTGAGCCATCTCTCCAGCCCCGAACTCACTTTTTATTCCATGTTCCCATTTCTCACTGGCATGGGGCAGGTATAGGGAATAGGGTAGCTTGTCTCAGGAGCTATTATAGAATTTATTGCTGCTGATTTAAAATCTGTCCTTTCTATAACTAAAGGTAAAAAAGAAAATATTAAATATCAGCGATAGAATCTTCTATATTTGAGAGGATATTCTGTTTGCAAATCGTACGATTTTCACTGCTTTTAAGAGCAATAAGAAGCATATATTCACCTGAGCAGATAAACAGCAAAGTATAATGAACCCCACCTCATTCCTTTACATAGAAAGACTCAGCAACCAGCATATTAATAACCACCGTAGCAGATCTTTATAGGTTGCTGTTCCATAATAAGTTCTCCCTTCTGTTCCTGGGCTCTCAGATATCTGATTTGACTATACAGTCTCTCTGACAGATACCAAAACCAGGACTTAGTTTACCCAAAAAGAGGCTATAGAAGATCACAGTCAATGTTATTATGCAGGTCTTGTTTAGGAAAATGGCACCCAAGAAACCTCACAATATGGCTGTCTAAATAAGGCCTACATAATGACACCACCAGCTGACATGCCAACATGAATGGAGGAAATTTCACAAGGCCACCTCTTTATATTAAAGGCTACAGGCATTAGCTCTTATGGCTGCTGAGAGAGGAAAAAAATAAGTTTTCATTTGAGACAAACTCCTTGATAGGCTGTCTAATCCCAAGTGGTCAGTCCTAAATACATGTATATACTAGAGCCACTAAATGGAGTCAGTAGGTTTTATGTATATAAAATATAATTTAATATATATATACACACACATAAAAATAATAAAAAGAGGTCAGAAATAAGATCAGAATATTGAGAGGGAGTGAGGGAATGTGGGAGGAGTTGGAGGGGAGGAGGAAGGGGTAGAAATGATGTGAATATAGAACTAATGAATAAAATTAAACAGTTAAAAAAAAAGTTCAAGAAAACTCACAGCGCTGGAAGACTTAGAATCATGGCCCATTTAACTCTTTGAATGAGCCAGTAAGACCTAATTCTTCACACGTATCCCAGGTCTTTGTTCTGGGATCTTTGTTCTGGGTCTTTGTTCAGTCAATTGTTTGACTTCTATCTGCATTTTTAATCTGTTTTATGGATCTTGTGCTTATAAAGTTATGTTTTCCAAATAATTTTCAGTTTAATGCCTTAATTCTGTAAATCTGGAATTGTGAGAACCAAGCATAGATTGGCTGGGCCTCATCCTTTAGTTACAATAACTAATACAAGTTGGT